GGTCATATGGTATCTCTATTTGCAACTTTTTTAGAAAGCGCCATACTGCTTTCCACAGGGGTTGCACCATTTTACACTCCCACCAACAGTGAATCACGGTTCCAGTTTCTCCACAACCTCGCCAGCATTTGTTGCTTGTAAAACTGCATTTTTATAAGAAGCGGTCCATATTTTTCCTAGAGGGGTTAGTGGATTTAAACTAAATTTTCCATTAGCAGCCTGACACTTAACACACTTGTGAACCAGTGTTCCTTTTAGCCCAGTCCAGTGCCTCTCACAGAGTAGAATCTGCACACATAATATATACTTAACTGCTGACAATGCAATTCAGGTTACTCTAGAAGGAGGACTGTAACTCAAGTGACCAAATGCCTAACTTAACAAAAACAAGGAGACATTTTTTAACATCGTTCAGAAATAGAGTAGGTCCTCAACAAACATTTTCTAAGTATATTGATAACATTGTCAACTCTAAGAATTGATAACATTGTCACATAGAGCATCTAATTTGAGAAAAGGCTATCATGCTGATAAACAGAATTGTAGGTGGAGCTAGAAATAGATACATAGCAAGCTCTAGTGGTATAGTTGGAAGGGGGTTGCACTAACTTCCCGGTTATGAGGGGAAAAGATGGCATTTCCTCTTAAGAAATTTATAGCTTCAGAAATCCAACAGAGGTATAGGTTATGAGTTGGTTCCTATCAGAAGGCAATGAGCTAGTGAGTGAGTGATATACACACAAACACACACACAGAGCAAGAGGTACTTATAAACTTTTTATTTAATTTTCAACAAAAATCATATTTTTAATTCAATAAGAGTCATGATATTGATTACACAGGAACAGTTCAACAGTCTTTAGTCATCAAATCCTATATTCACCAGCGTCTTGATCTAATTCCCTCCTTTCCTGTGGACATTCCAAGAACTACTATGGTTCACTTAAATCATCTCACAGCGATCAGTTCTTTCCTGCTAGTCACTCAAATTCAGAACTCCTAACTTGTGGCTCACAAGAGACTTCAGTCATATGAAAAAGCATCTTGAAATTAAAATACTTTTAAACAAAACAAAAATATAAAACTTCTTTTAGGGATAGTGAACCCTGGCATTCACCCCTAAAAGATGCCAAAGTGTATAAAAGTGCAATCTCTGCCTTTCTGTTTCTTTAATCTGTGCCTCTTTTAAAAATATCAACTTTTAAAAAAAAAATAGCAACTTTAAGTTCAAAAGAAATCATCTTTCCTGGGCTGCATCATCACCAGACACATCAGTCACAAAAGAAGCTGACAAGACCTGTTGTTTCCAAGAGTATGAGACTTTAAAACCACACCATCTGAATGGAAGAGAACGGTGGCAGCTTTCTGTGTAGCACTACTCGGTCGAGGCTGGAATACACACATCCTGCTTTCTGAACTGGTTCCCCACCATCTTTGCAAAGGCCACCAGACATTTCTATTGAAGGCTGGATTCCAGCTCTCGATCATTCTGCCTGGAGGACCCATTCTCTTTAAGTTCATTGTCCTGCTCTGGGGAAATGCTCTGACTTCCTAAGGTGACGACAGCATCTGAGTCCAATCTTCTTCTTTTCTTCAGTTGGTACAAATGGGACTTGGATTTTACATGTGCTAATAAGAGTAAAAAAAACAAAACAAAAACCAGCTCATTAGGATTTTCTTCAATTAAACCTAGAAGTAAAATTAACAACATAATCCATTTCATTGTCAATAAAATGTATTGGTATATACTGGTTTAGCTGCTTAGCATTTTTAAGGGAAACACTGATTATAGGACCAGCAACCTAGTAAACTAGAGCAAACTACCACACACTCAGGAAAGTGCCTGCCACTCTGTTCAAAAACACATACTGACCAACCTCCAACTCACAGCTATGGAGCTGATTTCAACTCACAGTGACCCCTCACCAGGGTTCCAAGGCTGTAAACTGTGACAGGAGGAGACAGCCCATCCCCTGCCCTCAGAGGTGCTGATGAATTCAAACTGATGGAGATGCACAGCCTCTGGATTAAGAGCACAAATCACTGTGCAAACCAATATAACACAAAGATTTAAAATACCAAACATAATAAAAAGAGTACAATTCATTACGGATTTACATTACCAGAGCTTCTCTACCTGATGCAAGTTTTGCATGGCTAATCTTCACAAGTCCTAGTGGAACAATGGTTAAGTGCTGGCCTACTAACCAAAAGGTTCCCAGTTCAAAACCACTCCTCTGGGCTTAAAGAAGAAAGACCTGGCAATCTGTTCCTGTAAAAATTACAACCTAGAATATCATATGGGGCCTTTCTACCATGTCAGAAGGGGCCGCTGTTAGATATAAAAAAAGAGCATGACGGCGTGATGGAGAGAAATAAAGAAACTGGTCCCAAGAAACGAACAGGCCTTTATTGTGCGGTCTGAGAGGGATGCAAAGTGACCCGGCTGCACAGCACACAGACAGGGTTGATATGGCTCACGGGCAGTCTGGGGGGTGGGGGTGGGGGGTGGGGGTTCCTTCTTATTGGGGTCCTGGGGAGGACTAAGATGGTATTTCTCGGAATTTGGGTTGTTAATTAAGTTAGCTTTGGGATATTTTGATCAGGCTCAGACCCTTATCAAGATCCATTGTCTGGTCTGGTCTTTGATATGACAAGTTTAGACGTTACCAGTTTTCTCAGGAAGTGATCCAGCTTGGGGATGGTGGTGGTGGGGCAACTGCCATATTCTTCCTCCAGCTGTTATGAGCTGAAACCACCACAATGGCAGAGAGACAACAATCTTGCAGGATGGTATAATTCTGCTTGTTTTACATGGGAAACTGAGGTTCAGAGTAGTCGTAACATTTTGTGTAAAGGTGCACAGCAGGTAAGCTCTTCTGCTTATCTACTGCTCCAGAAACCCAACTTTTCAGAATCAAGGCTCCACACTATAAGGCCATCTGGTACAGACCCATGTCTACGTGTAGAGTTAAATTCAAATTTTCATCTGCTTACAAAAAGATGTCCTGGAGGACTACAGACACGTAGACTATGACATGTCCTGCTGTAGTACGCATCCATTCACAGATCTGAGGATAGAGGTACCCTTCCCGCATCGTCCTGCCTGCCAGGCTGCCTTTCTTGGTGTGACATCCCTGTGTCTGGTTTAGATAAATTATGTAAAATGGCTAACTTACACGATTCACATTCTCCTAGCATACAATGCTCCAAAAAGGTTACAAGGTACATTCTTTCCTGACAAATCCATCTGAGGGTATCCACAGGATCAGTAAAGTGGCAAGGCCCTTGTTGCCTGATACTAACTTCTGACTTCTCACCCTTAAGAACGTTCTCACCTTCTGACTAACTTATACAGGTTCATTTTTACTATCTTGTTCTTCTTCAAGGAAATCTCATTTGGGAACACTTACAGAAATAAAGCTATTAAACCTTTTTTACATACTAAAAAACAGGTCCCTTTTAAGGCTTCAGAAGCAAGAATATAAAAGGAAGAGGTTAGAAGTCAAAGAAAAGTTTACTGGGGGAGAAAAAGTCGGCTTTGTTCTCCAACCACTGCCTAAGGCAGAAAGCCGGCTTCTGGCTGGGCGAGCCATGGCAGCAGGAGATGGGAGCAAGGACTTGACAGATGGCACTATAGAAGGGCTTACACAAGCTAAGCTCACAAAGGCCCACAAATGTTGCTTCTCCGAGGCTACTCCTAAAGGGCAGTCTACAAATCGAACCACTAAGTTTCCTTCAGGAAAAACAATCAGACACTCTTTTTCTCTCTCCCCTTTCATAAACCAATGACAATTGAGGCTTCTTCTGCTGCTTGGGCAATCACAGCCATCCCCAGTCTCTGACAATGAAGTTCATTTTGCCAGAGTTACCAGTTAATAGAACTAATCATTCCACTGGTTGGTATGGGGGGAAAAAAATCTACTTCTTAAGGATGCCATGCCAAACAGTACTCTCAACAGGATTCCAGCTCTAGACAGACCACAGGACCCACTGTGCCTAAAGAATGTGAGTCTTAACTGTGCTTCTAAATATGATGAAAATTCAAGGTCTTGAGGTTAGAGCTCTTTGGACTCTGGATGACTACAGAAATGTGACAGGGCAGTACAATGAGACTTGAATTTAGAGGCAGGTTCAGACTCTAAAATCAAGGAGTGAGCCTGAGGACAGGGATGATTATTGGCTGAAGGCAGTTAAGAACTATTTTTTGTTACTAGGGGTGTAGAACCTTCATATTCACTCGGAGGGGCACGGCATAGCCCCTAAAAGGCGACAAGGTCCATCTACTGCTGTGTGCACACCACTATTTAAACCGCTGCTACAAGAAACTGAAGCTCTTGAGTCTGGGTGCTAAAGAACGTAACTCTTTAGACGTCTTCTATTAATACAAATCTGACAGTCTTGCTTCCACACATTCTATTAATATCACAGTCCTACAATTACTGCTATTTCAATATATTACCTTAAAAATTACAGAAGACACCACTTTTGAAGAACGCATTGGAGGAGTAAAAGCACTTCCAGCTCTCTCTCACCTGTTTCTCCATCTCTTGAATTGCCTAGCTTTGCCTAGCTTCCTTTCCAATGCCTGTTTAGCCCCACTGAGTTCTGAACATGGCAGGTCAAGTAGCCCCCGCAAGGCAGGACCATCAAGTCAAAGGAATTTAGGAAGTTAACTGCTAACTCTCTGTATAAAACAACTACTCCAGTTTAAGCTGGAGGGCATATGGGCTTCCTTTGAAATTCAGAATACAAAGACAGCTCCCCAATTCTGGAAAATTTCCAGAGGATTTAAGCACTGGCTCTTAAAGGAATCTAGCCAATTCCTTTACAAACAAGCTGACTCCATCTTTCAACCTACCAAGGAGGGGATTTTCACAGTCCCATCCTAGGAGATTTCGCTATGCCTTTCTGCATACTCTACCTGCCCATTCTCTGTCCCCAATGATGATCCGATCACAGAGGTCGCACATGTGATAACTTCTCTTGTTTTCCGTTTCATTGCATGGCATCTTTACTGGAGTGACAGTGGGCTTGTGGCCCTGAAAAAACAAGAGAGAACATTTGATGCAAAGATATCTGGGTATCACTTTTTGATATTAAGGGGAGTGGGATTTCTCCAAGATTTCTATCTCATCACACAGAGCAGGTGGGCTGTGAACAGATTTTAGCAACAACCTTTCTAAATGTGAAAGAATAAACACAGCCTACAGAGATCTAAAATCAGCCAACCCTTCTGCTTTTTTCCATGGAAAAAGCTTGGTTCTTCACATAGCAACAAAGGTGTCAGCTAAGAAAAGCTCTCTAAAAATCACACGAGATGGCACCAGGATTAATGATCACCTGGATGAAACTCCGCACAATTTCAAGAGCAGGTTCGAGGACAGACTCTTTCCACTTTGTGAGATCAGATACCTCTAAGCCATATACGGGGGGGACACCGGGACCAGGTCCTAATAATGACAAAGAAAAGTTGTGAGAGGTCAGCCTCAAAGGCCAAATCAATTTGCTCCCAGGACTCCAAAATCCTCAAAAGAAGCATCTGGAGCTGAGGGGAAAATATCCTCACTATGCAATTCAGTCTAAATAGAAACATGACCCAACAGCTGCATACAACCCAAGAAAATCACATAGAAGGTTGACTGGTCTGAAGCCAGTAAGTTTATCTGTAAATTTCAAAAGTTTTCAGACCAGTCAGGAAAAGAAAGGAGAGTAAGAGCTCTAATGCTTACTATACAGGCCACAATTTAGAGATAACCCTGGGAGGAAATAAGCTAATAAACTCAAGATGCCTGTCCTAAGTTTCATATCGTCAGTGATGTTACTCTGTGGAGAAGAGTTCACTGGAGCAGACACCAGTCTCAGGTTTTAGATCTCTTCAGCCGTCTGGCACTGATAAAACGGATAATCATGGGCTGGGAATAGGATCAGCCAATGGGAACTAGAAAGCATCCTTAGAAATGACCCAGCAGAGTCCCTTCTTTTAGGAAACAAGATTCAAGAAACATGCTTAATGAATACTAATGAATGGAGCTGAAGACTGAAGGCAGCAAAGGGGGCAGCTACAGGGCTTCTACCCACCCGAGGCACCCACCTTGCAAGAGTTTTAGTCTCTACTGGCAGCTCCCTAAGACTCCAAACTAAAGTGTCTTCCCCAGTGAGGTGAAGTCAGCTGCCTATGGGCGAAAAGCATCAGCCCAGGGACAAAAACATCAAAGGCTTCAGGATGCCAACGGCTGGCAGGTGCTGGCCTTTTGACTGTGCCAACCACAAATAAGATTCTTCATAAACTGGACTGGGCTGCACCTGCCACCACACGGAAAGGTGAGACTGCGAGGGTGCAGGCAGCATCCACAGCACACCTGGCCTTGGCTAAGCTCTGCACCTGTTTCCAGGCCACTCTACATTTTCCTTTCTCCTCTAAATCCTTTGTTGGGCTTCTGTGCCCTGTCTAAGCACCTTTCAACAAGTTCTCGGCTCCCAGCTGCTGTTTCTGGCTTGGGTCCAAGGCCAAGCTGGGGTGGGGAAGTCCCTCTGGCTTTTTGCCAGAACCATATCCCAGCAGACTGGCCCTGGCCAATCACATGCAGCTCCTGATTTACAGGGCAGCTGTGCCTTTCACTTTAGCACCAGGGCTGTGCCAGCATACACAGGAATAAGGACACTGGGCTATTGGCCTTGCCTGTCTCAGAGACCGGGGAATATTGTGGTTTTACCACAGTTGAAGTTCCAAATTGCTTTGTTTTGTTTTTTAAATAATAAATGTATCTGTATCTTTTGTTACAGACTATCAGCCCTGAGAAGGGCTGCATTAGAAGTCTGTACTGAACTTCAACTTCAGCTGATGTTAATACTTCCATCTAACAGGATGCACGAAGAAAGCAGGCTAAGTAGAAGGTGTAAAGGGGTTGCCAGACTAAGAGCTATTACGGAGAACTCTGTTGTTGGGTCAGAACCGACTCACAGCTGCCCCTCCAGCAGGTTCTCAGCCTTCTCCCACAGAGCAGCTGATGGACTCTTTAACTACAAGCCTTTGGCCCAGTAGCACATCTCCTTACCCTTAGGCCATGGAGCTCTCTATGGAGAGTCTGGGAGAATAAAACTGGGCGAGAAAGAACATCAGCAATCCGGGGGTCAAAAGTATGGTTTAGGGGTATGCATTCAAAGGCATAAGGTCTGCAGTGGAAGCCTCTCAGAAGATTTCAGCTGTCCTTCTGAGCCAAGTGAAAGTACAAGTCAAATGTCAAAAGTAAACATAAGATGATTCAACCATATTAAAAAAATGTCCACCAGGTAAACCGGGATTCCACTTCTACTTTGCCCCCTTTTAACTCAGAACTCTATAATTTCTTACCTGATACTGTTTGGCTAAAGTTAGAAACAAGAGTAGTAATACAAAGCAAAGTGTGGTGGGGTGCATTATAGTACACTACTGATTCCTAGCTCTGGCAATTTATTTAATCTCCATTTCTTCATTTGTAAAAAGAAAAGAGTACCTATCTCAAAGATTCAATATTCTCTCTCCAGCACTAAATTTAGGGCCAAGGGCATAGGACAAAGCCAAATGAAGGAGAATTTCCTTCCCTATTCTGTTCAAGCACTATATATCAAAACACAAAGCTTTCATCTCTTTAGACAGCTCATCTACTCCAAAATTGATTTTTAAAAGGAAAGTCTCCTTTCAGAAAACTCCTCAGGTGGAAGACGTGAAGGTAAAATCAGTCCTGAGCACTTTCTCTGCTGAGAAAATGTTGCTATTTTGCTCTTACCTGTCTGTATCACTCATCTGTTCAAAGCATAAGGGCTTCCTCCAAGAAAGTTATTTTCCTATAACATCACCAAAAAATATTCCTAGGCAATCACTTATGCAACACCCACTCCCCTAGGTTAGGTTTCAAATCTTAGAGCGGGTCTGGAAACTAAAGTTCACTTTCAAGATGAGCTGAGGACATCTACAATCTTACTGAAAACAGACCGAGGAGACAAGTAAGTAAACACATGAGACTTACTGCTTATGAAACGGTTTTTAACCCACTGGTTTTGCTTCCGGGCGTATCTCTTAGTCACTTGTTTCAGAGCCTCAATACCTGAAAGATAAAGCAACTATAAAACACTGAGTAAGTACTTTTCACCTTGCTAAAAGATAGGCCCCACCTAGCAAAAGTGAAAATCAGTCTCCAGGAGCACCTGCTAATCTCGGGGCACAGTGCATCTCAATTCTGAACTGAAGGCCATTTAGGCTCTTAGCTTCAGCTTTCTCAGAATACAGCAGTAACATACTCTGCTCCCCAAGGATATCCAAGGCTAGGTTAAAGGAAGGAATTCACACCTTTCTTTAGGAGCTGGTTACTAGTCTCCTGTGTGCATGTCTCCTCAGTGGTCAGGTACTCGTGAAATTCCTTGAAGCCAATTGACTGGAAGATACCATGTTGATAGTCCTGGCTGGGAACAGGAGAGCATCAGCAGATGAACCACTGCAGCTGAGAGCTAGCGGGGGTTTTGAGATGATCCAGGTGAGCCATGTCATGTTACAGAAGAGGAAAACTGTGATCATGGGCAGTCACTACCTCTTTGAAAAGGCCCTCAAGCTCACCAACTTCAAGGTTATTTCCCTTCAAAGTTAAGTCCTGGGATTGGAAAAGTCAACTGGAACAGTTACATTATGTCTCACTCCAACAAGTCTTGCTAATGCCAAGGACAAAGACAAATAAACAAACAGATACAAAGCCAGTATTATGTCTACTGTCTGTTGAGACCATCAAGAATGGCTAGATAGTAGGGAAAAGTAATAGACAAATGCTTACCTATTTTCAGCTACTTTCTTCTGATTATAGCGCTTGTGAAAATTTCTCAGTTCCTCCAAAAGCCCAGCTGCAAGCATGTCATCCACCCTTTTATCCAAACGCTTATCTAGAACTTGAATCAAATCATCTAGTCAGCAAGAATACTGAAGGTGCCTGCTAACTACTTAACACGGTGAACAGACAAGCAACACAAAGAGAAAACATGGAAGCAAGGATTCAAAACTCAAATACCGAGTAATAATGCATGATATATTTGGTCCCACTTAAGACTCTACAACTCAAAAGCAAAACAAAAACATGAACCAAAACCAATCTAAGGATGTAGCATGTGCTACATAAATGTGTAAAATAATGCTTATTTTACAGCTATTTTTTGTTATTGTTGTGTGTATATTTTATTCATTGTTGCACAATCCCCCCAGCTCAGCCCACCCCACAATGCACCTCTTGTTCTAGATGTTGTGATACATATAATATCTAATCATATATTCCTTTCGGACAGTCTTCCCTTCATCTGTTCCAATGCAGTATTCATTAGCTATCCACTATTTTCCTATTCTCTCCTCAACTCACCCACTCTCCTGGTTCTATTTTATAATTTTATGCAATATTTGCCCTTTGGTGACTGAGACAAATCACTCAGCATAATGTTCTCCAGGCTAACCCACGATGTGTATGTAATGTATGAGTTTACTGTTTTCTAATGCTGCATACTATTCTACTGTGTGAATGTACCATTCATTTGTTGATAGGCACTTAGGTTGCTTTCACCTCTTTGCTATTGTGAATAACGCAGCAATGAACATGCATGTGCATACATCTGCTTGAGTCATGGTTCTGATTCTTTAGAGTATATTTCCAATGGTGGAAATGCTGGGTCAAATAGTATTTCTACTTCCAACTTTTTGAGAAAATGCCAGACCACCTTCCATAGTGGAGATACCATTTCATATTTCCACCAGCAGTGAGTAAGAGTTCAATTTCTCCGCAATCTCACCAGTATTTGTTGTTGGCTACCCTGTTGAATTTTGCTGTTGCTGCTGGGGTAAGATGGTACCTCATAGTTGTTTTGATTTGTATCTCTCTGATATCTAGGGATTCTGAGCATTTCTTCATATGTTTAGTCTGCCATCTGACCATTTTCTTTGGTGAAGTATCTGTCTATTCGTATCCTGTGCCCAGGGTTGTCTACCTTTATCTTGTTAAGGAGCTGGAGTAGTCTATAAATTGTAGATACAAGTCCCTTATCAAATATATCATTGCCAAGTATTTTTTCCCAGTCTGTGAATTTCCTTCTTAAACTGCTGGAGAAGTTTTTTGATGTCCTTAGAGATTTGATTCTTAGAAGGTCCCATTCATCTATTTTATTCTCTCCTGGTTGTAGGTTACAACTATTTTTATTGTTGTTGTTGTTGTTATGTGCCATTGAGTCACTTGAGACTCATTGCGACCCTATGTACAAGAGCTCTAAATGCTGTTCTATCCTGTGCCAACCTAGCCATCTCAAACGCACTTATTCCCACCGCTCCAGTCACAGAATCGATCCATCTCATCAAAGGCCTTCCTCTCCTTCGCTGCCCCTCCACTCTGCCAAACATGATGTCCCTCTCCAAGGACCAGTTCCTCCTTGCAACATGCCCAAAGTATGTCAGACAAAGCTTCAGAATCCTTGACTCCAAGGAGCATTCCGGCTTCACCTTCTCCAGGACAAACCTGTTTATTCTCCTAGCAGTCCATGATATATTCAACACTCATCTCTAGCACCACAGCTCAAAGGCACCAATTCTCTTTCTATCAGCCTTATTCACTGTCCAACTCTCTAATGCACAGCATGTAATTGTGAAGACTATAGCCCGGATCAGGCGCACCTTAAGTCTCCAGTCTGACGTCGTTGCTCTTCAGTACTCTTGAGAGGTCCCTCATAGAGGACTTTCCCAAAGCAATTCTCTTGATTTCCTGGCTGCTGTTACCAAGAGTGTTGATTGTGGAGCCAAGCAAACTAAAACTGTTAACTATCTCAATCTCTTCACCACCCATACTGATGCTGCCAATTGGCCCAGGGGTGAGAATCTTTATTTTCTTGATGTTGAGCTTTAGTCCATACTGAAGGCTGTAGTCCTTGACCTTCTGCAGCAAGCACTTCAGGTCCTCTTCAGTTTCAGCAAGCAGGGTTGTGTCATCTGCATAACGCAGGTTGTTGATGATTCTTCCACCAATCCTGAAGCCACATTCCTCTTCGTATAGCCCAGTGTCTCGGATGATCTGTTCTGCATACAGATAGAAAAGGTATGGAGACAGAATACATCCCTGACGAACCCCCTTCTTGATTTTGAACCATGTAGTGTCTCCTGGCTCTGTTCTGACGATTGCCTCTTGGTCCAAGAAAAGGTTTCACATTAGCACAATCAAATGTTCTGGGATTCCCATTCTTCTCAGTCAGCCATAGCTTGTTGTGATCCACACAGTCAAAAGCCTTTGCATAGTCAATGAAGCACAGATAGACATTCTTCTGGTATTCTTTGCTTTCTGCCAAGATCCATCTAACATTAGCTATAATATCCCCGGTACCACGACAACTTCTAAATCCAGCCTGTACATCTGGCAGTTCCCTGTTGATATACTGTTCCAAATGTTTTTGGATAATTTTCAGTAGAATCTTGCTTGCATGTGATATTAATGATATTGTTCGATAATTTCTGCACTCTGTTGGGTCACCTTTCTTTGGAATGGGAACAAATATCGATCTTTTCCAGTCAGTGGGCCAGCTGGCTGTTCTCCAGATTTCTTGGCACAACTTAGCACATCCAGGGCAGTGTTTTGTCCTAGTATGGGATGTCTGTCCATTACATTTTAGAAGTAACCGAGGACCCCTGGTTTACTTTCCTTTTTTTCCCCCATTATACTTGTTACTCTAACCTTTTATTATGTCACATTTAAGGATTCACAAATGACACATCTTTGACAGAAAAGAGGAACTTTCAATCATCCTAGGTAGATCTTGATCCACTGTTAATCTCTCTTCCATTTTTGGCCTGCAATAATTGTAACCTTTTTTTCTATCATCCTAAAAAGTTTATTTATTTTTTACTTTTTTACTTACTACATGCCAGGTACAATCCAAGTGTATGTATTAATTTATTTAATCCTCAATGAAGCTAACACATATACACTACTGTCCCCATTTTACATAGGGAGACATTTTACAGAGAAAGGCAAGGGAACTGGGACATGCGGGTGTACACATATTTCTCTTAAACTCACACTGCTAGAGAAGAGGGTGGGACAAGAATCTGATTCCAGAGAGTGGCTTAGAGTCCATGCTCTTAATTGCTAGATTAAACTGTGTGTATATAACCATCTCCTCTGCTCCCCAGCCTAGCTCATAGGCTCTCTTTATGACTTGGTCCCTGACTCCCCCAGGAGAATGTTTTTCACCTCTTCTCTGTGCCCCACAGCACTAACTATATCTCTAAGACAGTATTTATCACTGTACTATTTGTCACTCCACTAGACAGGGAACTCCATAAAAGCAGATAGTTTCTTTCTAAGCTCTGAAACCCACACAGCACAATGTTCCTTGAATGCTCCCTAAATACTATCACAGTGCATCATTATATTTTAGTGACAAAACTCCACCAGGGAAGCTAGCTAATTGTCAGACTCATTTCTCAGACCTAGTATTGATGTTGCTGTTGTTAGGTGCAACTGAGTTGACTACAACTCATAACAACTCTATGAACAACAGACTGGAACCTCGCTCTATCCTATCCGTGATTTCTTCTGACTTGCTTGAGATCTGCCCCTTGGTGCTACCTCTTACACCTATGTGTGCTTCATGTGTGTGAGGAGAGAAAGGGGAGGTCAAGCAGGAAGACGGTAATGTATCGCCTCACAGGGAGGGTGCCACATCATTCCACTGTGTCCAAATGCTCTGTGGGAAGTCATCAAACAACTATTTCTAGAAAAATCAGTGACTCGAGTATTCCAGGAAGTGAAACAGCCTTCCCTAGGAATGATCCTTCTTTCTCTTTTAGAATTTCCCTACATGATCCTCTCTTCCCCATTCTACTAAGCCCATCCTAGCCCACTCCTGCTTCCTTATGGGAAGCTATCCTTTCTCCCTTTCCAGACATTTACATTTACTAAGTCAATGAAAAATGCTAACAAAACTTGGAATAACACTTCGCTTCTTTAGAGCTTATTAAGAACAACCAAAAAAACCAAACCCAGTGCCAATGATTCCCCCTAACAGTGACCCTCTATCAGGTTTCTGAGGTTGCAAATCTCAATGCCAAGAGACTGCTAATCTCTCTCTCCTACTCAGAGCAGCTGGTGGATTCAAACTGCTGACCTCTTGGTTTGCAGTGTAATAGGTTACAAAATATACCACCAGTGTTCCTTTTTGCCACTCTGATGCAGTGGATTAAACCTTGGACTACTAACCAAAAGGTCAGTGGTTTGAGTCCACCAGCTCCTGGGTAGGAGAAAGAAGAGTCAACTTGTATACAAATTTATAGCCTTGGAAACCCCAAAGGACCCTAGTACTCTGACCTACTGGGCTGCTCTAAGTAGGAATTGACCGAACAGTAAAGGGTTTGGAACATATACACACATATGTGTCTAAGACTTAGAGATGAATTCTCTAGGGCGTCAAAAGGCCTTTACCTGTCTGGTCAGCATGAAGCCAGAGGATGCAAGGGTTAGGGAACTTCAGAGGACCTCCAAGGGGACCACCACCTTCCTCTGCATGTTGCTGACGAAGAAATTCACTATGAGATATTCCCGTTTCTTCAAAGACTTGTAAGCTCCTAAATAATTGTTTTGAAAAGTGGGATGTTGTTGTGGGGGAGAACATATCCATAAAAACAATTAGGAATGTAAATGTTCATTAAAATTATTTAAAAAAAACAATTAGGAAACATTCACTTTCAAATGATACAGGCAAAGAGGCTAACTATCATAAAGTATCATTTTTACTCTCATTGTATAGGCCCCTAATGATTTGGCAGTACAGGATTTCTCCAAATTTTGTTTTAATACAAATTTTTTATTTTATACTAGCTTACTTACAAAACTGTTTTTCACACAGGATTTCTCCAATGTTAAGCTACTTAAAAGAGTCCTAAGTAAAACCAAAAGTAAGAAATACTGTTCTTCTAAACACACATAAACTTTTCTGAAATAAGTAAAACAGACTCAGAAACAATAGGCTTTTACTTAAACAAAATGGGACTCACTTCACTTTCAGGTAAGCAGTAAAAGAGCTTGTTTAGGACACTTAGAAGCCAACAAGTCTAGTCTCGCTGGGGAGTCGTTCCCACAGTACAAAAGTATGCTGTAAATCCAGCTCATCAACTTTCTTTTTAAATATATCTAAAATTAATGAAGAATGCTCCTGGCTAAATCCGTTTTCTATTGGTACAGAGATCACTGGAGAAAGAATTCACATTTTTATTCTGGAACCACCATTTACTTCTGTCTGTATCTATTATGCTATGCAGCACAAAGTAATTTAACTCTCAAATCTATACTACTCGGGATGATTGTAACTTATCAGCTTGAAAGTGATCTTTCCCTTCCTGACCCAATTCCACTTCCTGAAACCCGAACAGAAGATTAGAGACCCCTTGTCTCTCTGAATCAATGGTTACTCAAAGAAGATGTATCAGAGAGAAAAAAAAAGAAGTAATAGATATCTGATGTATCTGTAACTTAGAATATAAGCTTCAAACCTCCCCACCAAATGGGGGGGGGGGATTCCAAATCCCTCTAACTAGTTACTCTTAGTGAGATACAATTCTTAAAACTCATTAATAGCTGGTCGTCTTGTGCCAACAAGTTGATTGTACTAATAGTGACCCTACAGAGCAAAGAAGAACAGCCCCGTGGAGTCTCCTGGGATGTGATCTTCATGGGAGCAGATTGCTAGGTCTCTTCTCCTATGCAATCACTTGGTGGCTTCAAACTGCTGACCTTCCTTTAGCAGCCAAGTGCTTTAAACATATTACTAGTGCACCCTCATTATGCGAGAAGTAGCAAATAATGACAGGCAATAAGGCACACCTGATTGGAAAAAAGAGGGACTAACAGCCAAACACTAAAACCATGTTAGGACACAACAGAAAAAGAATGTTTATCATAATGTTTTTGAGTTTTCACAAACTTTTCTCAAAGATTTCGATGAAAATGTTTAAAAGATTTGAACATTTTAAAGCATATGCTTTATTAATCTAGAATATGCATTGTCAATGGGGGGGAATCTTATTACAGTGGTTTGTGTGTCCTGTTAAAAGTACAACGGTGTCTGAAAAATCTTATTCTTTACTGAGAAATTTCATAGGGAGGGAAGCAATTAGGAGAAAGATCCTTGAGCACTGTCAAGAGGGAAAGGAGGCAAATGTTTAAAAATCAAAACATAAAAAAGAAATGCTTTAGAAAATTCAGTAGGAATTTGAGTAGGAAATGTTTAAACTTAGCAAAAACTTGGTGTTATTACAGGACTGAACTTGCATTATTATCTGTATTGTAAATTCTTCACTAGGTTCTTTATGCTATTAGAAATGAAATCATTCCCAGCATTGTAAAAAAAAAAAAAAAAAATCTAACACATGAGGCGACAATGTCAAAACACTAAGAAAGCATGACCTTATGAGTTCATTCACCACCTCCTCTTCCTACCAAAAAGTCTCCCTGTGTAAAGGTGAGTTGATCTATGAGACAGTTTATAGAATACACCTCCCACAAGGAAAGCTGCTGGGGCAGAACTGAGCATTGCACAACCAGTTATGAAACCCAAATCACAATGTAAACTGACTGTATGCCAGAAAGACATTTATATGAAAACTGGTATACAAGCAAAGATCAAACAGAAAATGAAGCCAGATTACACAAGCCCTAGGGAAAGACTGTATTGTATGGTGCACTTTAAATGTAACAACAAAGTAGGGTGCAACTATTTATTGAGGGAGCTAGACAAGCAGCTGCCCTCAAATTTCTCTCTACTCTGGCAAACCCTTCCATTTTGACAGTTCCCTAACCCTAAAGGAATTCAAGGTCAGCAGGCCCAGGTTTCTTACCTAGCCACTTTACGTTTGTCATGTGGGTGTAGCTTGGCGGCCATTTCTGGGTCCACTTGGCTTAGGCGTTTGTAGAGTACATGGCCATCCTCCTTTTCAAGCTCTATTTTTAAGTTAATCCTTTTCTCAGTGTCCATCTCCTGGGGCTAAAGAAATCAAAGTTTCAAGTAAATTTAATTCAACAATCCAAGAAATATTAATTGATCTGAGAATGTGCCAGGCACTCTGCTTAGTGTTAAAAATATAGAATGTACATGATTCAGAAGAACTTGCCATGCAGTGAGAGAGAGATCATACACAAAGAATTCTCACACACAGTGGGAAATACTGTGAGACCACAGTAAACTACAAGGAAGCAGGACTTTCTGTCAAGGAGTACCATGTTTTCTGGTCAGAAGTATTCAAAGTACTCACAGAGCGACTGCATCGAACCTAACATACCTAGGAATCTAGTCTGCTCAGCAAAGCAAAGAATGGACTAGAATTAGCATAACACAAAATAGCTTGCAAGGTCTCATCTCATGTAAAAGCATCTTTAAGAAAGGTTAGTACTAGAAATATCCCCTACATGGATCTTGCTGTCAGCCAGGAAATGCTGAATCACACTACTATACTGTTAACTTACATGGAGATGCTAATTAAGCCACTGAGGAGTTGTTTTCCCACACACAGCCCCTGCCCTTAGGCCAGCCTAGAGCAGTACACTTCACACACTGGTAGTATTTGCTTCAGAATATTAAGCAGGAAAAATTACACTTGCAGAGTATAATAGGCAAAAGTCAACTTTTCTTCCACTAAAATTTGCTGGCAAGACAGTAGAATTCATTTCTTTAATGAGTTACAAATGAACTAAACATACCTTGGTATTGACAAGAACTTTCCACAGAAGAGATTCAATGTAATAATTTGTTCCTCCTACGACAATAGGAATTTTGTCTCTGGCAAATATATCTTCAATGTGAATGTTAAGAAATATAGCACAGTATTTTAGAACAGAGAATCTTCTGACTCATTTGGGAAGGAGAGTATTAGCAAAAAACCCACATTAATTTGCCTTACTATAAGGGTAGAAAGGGTGGAAACCAAAATGAACTGATAGCATGGTTTCTCACTAATTCTGAAAATCATTTCCATGTTGCTCTGAAAGAACCTGTATAAACCAGAAAAATGTATACTGGTAATTCCTTCCAATTCTAGAATTTCCTAGGATTTGACACTAAAATGAGACGTTTTGTTGGTATTCTAAATTAGTGTACCACGCACAAGCCCAAGAACTTTCAAAATCAAGTGTCAGCTACTCGAGCCATCCAGGTACTATCTATTGTGGGACTTTGTAAGACAAAACCAAAAAAAAAAAAGCTGGCTTTTCAAAACCAAGCTCTTTAGACTCTGTCAGTCTCCACCACTACTTAGTAGTCCTCATGTTTTTGCCACTTGAGACTTTCTCAGATAAATTACAAAGCATGAGCTCTGAACACAAATAGGCATCAATTACCAGCTCTAACTCTTGAGTAAGTTAACCAAACTGCCTAAGCTTCAGTTTTCTCACCAAAAAGAATCTCATGAGTTCTTATGACCTTTAAATAAATGTGCCAGGACATAAAACCTCCCTATTACAATGCCTAAGAAAAGCATCCAACTTACTTTAGCCACTTTGTTTTTATCTCCCTGTTATTCTTGAATTATTTTTAGAATTCTACCTGCTACTCTGGATTGGATTCTATCACATATTTTGGGCACGTGGCCAGGAGGGAGTTGGAGAAGGACATCATGCTTGGAAGGGTGAAGGGATGGTGCACGAGAGGAAGACCTTGGATGAGATGGATTGATATAGTAACTGGGGCAATGGGGGTAGGTGTATTGCAGTCAGTGAGACTGGCTCAGAACAGGGAAGGGTTCAGAGCTGCTATACACAGGTGACTATACACAGAGCTGCTATGACATCACAGGTGACCTGATGGCACATACCACCACCACCACAACCACCACCTACTCTATATTCTTCTAATTACTGTTGGACATAAAATTATCTACTTTAAGAGAGGCTTTGCTTCTGCACAGAATTGATTTAAGAGAATTACTTTCAATATCCAATGACTCACTTAGGGAGCACTGACTGACAGTTCAAATCTACCTGTCACTCCTCAGGAGAAAGAAGAAAAATTGTTTCCACTTCCTAAGCAACATGCCTCTGAAAACTCTATGAACTTTGATAAATGTCAATAGTTATAGAAAGGCTTCGGGCCTTCTGTTCATAGGGTTGCTGTGAGTCATGCTCTACTCGACAGCCATCAACAACAACATGCGCTTTACGGCCTCCAAAAATCCATTTCGTGGTAAGCTTGATTCCAACTCGAGGGCAATACGTTCTTTGGTTGTTTTTTTAAAAAAAAAATTACATGCTTCTTCCCCTTTTATATTCTTCTTCTCACCTGCAGACCAACCTCTTTTTTTTATAAGTTCAATAACTCCTAAAGGGTGAGTGGGGTGATAGATGCTACCAATTAAGGATCATTAAAAAAAAAATTGTCTATTTGTTTTTAAAAAAGAAGCAAATTCTCAATTCTACCCTTTAAATTATAAAAAAGATAGAATAAAACAAAAGCTTAACTAAATAATAGAACCAACAAGGAAAATTTTCTTACTGCCGTTAGCCCACAGTAAGAATGGTCTCTTACTACTTACTGAGTCAGAAACAACTCAGAGGTGACCCTATTTTGGGCACTGGTGGCCTAGTGGCAAGAAGCTGCACTGCAATCCCAATGGCACCCTGTTCGAATCCACCAGCTGCTCCACAGGAGGATGGGCAATCTCCCACCTGATTAACTGCCTCTGAAAACCTGCTGGAGGGCCAGCTATAGGTTGGTCCCAACCTGATGGTACACAACAATGACAGGGCTATAAATCACACCGAAAGAACTGCCTTTCTTTCTCAGAGCCACTGATGAATCTGAATTGCCACAGAAGTGTGGCTTCTGGTTTAGCAACACAACTTCCTACAAACTATGCCACCAGAGTCCTCAACAAGAAAAAGGGGAGCAGGGAAACAAAAAGGGCAAGAGAAAGGAGTTTTCAGAAGGTGAATAGACAGAAAAGAAAGGGAGGGGGAGAGAAAAGAAAAGATGGAGGAAGGCTTCATTTGCTTGCTCAAACCCATGAAAAAACCCTTCTTTCTCTCTAGGCTTCAGTATCTAGTTGGTACCTTTAACTATTAGGTCAAGAAGGTAGACATTCTGATCCTAAGCTTTCCCCTAACTTTATAAACATCCTAACCTATAAATGATCTGATTAAGTCATTCTCTGTTGTTGATGCCTTTGAAAATGTTACTCATTTTATATCAGTTCTTTCTGAACAAGCCAAAAGTGTTATTACATTTGGTGATACATTTTAATTTGCAAAAGGTTTTCAAATACATTATCTTATCTGATACAATAAACAGCCTTGTAAAGCAGGTAGGGCAGGGATTATTTATTGCATTCTAATCTTGACCTATTTGATAGGTAAAAAAAATACTATCTCATAATTTTTATTTGCATGCCTCTGATTAACAGCAAAGGTAAACTTTTTTATATTTATCACCAATTATATGTCTTCCTTTCTGAATTACTGCTCACGGCCTTTATGCATTTTCCTTACTTATTTCTAAGAATTCTTTTAAATTAACCATTCAGCTTTCATATGTTACAAATATATTTCCTTTGGCACATAATCAGCTTTTAAAATTTATTTTTACTATATATATTAGTATATTAATATAATAATCATTATTAGGGAATTCTGATGGCCTAGTGGTAAGAAACTGCATGTAATCCTGAAGGCACAAAGTTCGAATCTGCCAGTTACTCTATATAACACTGTATGTATTAATATTAAAGGGAGCTCTGGTGGCCTACAGGCAAGAAACTGTGCTGTAATTCCAAAGGCACGTGGTTCAAGGCCACCAGCCACTCCGTGGGTGAAGGATGGGCAATGCCCTACCATGAGATTAACTGCCTTTGAAAACCCGCTGATGGTCAGCAATAAGTCGATTCCGACTCTATGGTACACAACAACAATTAAATACATACAAAAGACCATATATAACATATGTAAATAATAAATATAATAATGATTATAAAAATAATAAAAAATTATATTAGCCTAATGTCAGTGTAAGAAATGGAATACTCCCAATTTCTTTGAAACCTCTGTGCATCTCTTCACATTTCAACCTCCTACTTGTCCTCTTAAAAGGAAATCACTATCCTGAGTCATTTTGGATTTGCATGTATGGAATGCATAAAAATCAACATCCCAAGTATTAAGAAGGAATGGTATCAGTCATTCTAAATTAGACAATCAAATGATCTGCTTGCTGGAAAAAATAGACAAACTGAGGAGGAATGATATTGATTTCATCTTCAAAAAGAACATTTCAAGATCTATCTTAAAGTAAAATACTGTCAGTAATAGGCTAATAGCTATGCAACGAAGACTTGTCAATATCATTATTATTCAAATATATGCATTAACCAATAAAGCCAAAGATGAAGACAAGAAGATTTCTACCAACTTCTGTAGTCTGAAATAATCAAATGTGTAATACAGATGCACTGCTAATAACTGGTGACTGAATGCCAAAGTTGGAAACAAACAACAACAACAAAACTCAACAGTAGTTAGAAAATACAGGTTTGGTGACAGAAACAAGGTTGGAAATCAATGGAAAGAATTTTGTAGAATCAATTTTTATGCACTAGAAATACTTTTTAAAAGAAAACAGCAACTATACATATGGACTTCAACTGACAGAATATACAGGAATCAAACTGACATATGTGGAAAGAGATAGTGAAGAAACTCAGTATCAGAGGTCAAAAATAAGGCAAGAGATTGATGGTGGAACAGATCATAAGCCAAAATACAATTTGCGCTTATCTGAATTTAAAAACCAACTCAAGTACAGATTTAATGTACTGAACACTAATAACGAAAGATGAGTTATGGAATGACATCAAGGGTATCATCCATGAAGAAAGCAAAAGGTACTAAAAAAACAGGGGAAAAAAGAAAAGACCTAAATGGATCTCAGAAGAGATCCTGAAACTTGCTCTCCAAAGCAGAGATGTTAAGAGTAAATGTAGAAATATTCAAACTAGAGAGCTGAAATGAAGATTTCAAAGGGCAGCTCAAGAAGACAAAGTTGTTGTTAGTTGTTCCTGAGTCAACTCATAGCAACCCTATGAATAACCAGTTGGAGCTATGCCCTATCTTGCACCATCTTAATAGTCAGAACTCACTGTTCTATGTCAATTCATCTCCTTGAGGGTCTTGCTTTCTTTTGCTGACCCTCTGTCTTTCCAAGCAGGGTGAGCTTTTTCCCAAAGAAGGATCCTTCCTGACAATATGCCCAATGTATGTGAGATGGAGTTTTACTATCCTTACCTCTTTTACTATCCTTACCTCTAAGGACCACCTGAATTGCTCTTTCAAGACAAATGTTTGTTCTTTTGGCAGTCCACGGGTTATTCAGTATTATTCTCCAGTATCACAATTCACCAGTATGGATGGTAAAGAGATTGAGATAGTTAACAGTTTTGGTTTCTTTGGTTCCACAGTCAACACTGTTGGTAACAGCAGTCAGGAAATCAAGAGACGAATTGCACTGGGGAAAGTCAGCTGTCAGGGACCTCTCAAGAGTACTGAAGAGCAACGATGTCAGGCTGGAGACTAAGGTGTGCCTGATCCAGGCTATGGTTTTCGCAATTACATGCTATGCATCGGACAGTTGGACAGTGAATAGGAATGACAGAAAAAGAATTGATGCCTTTGAGCTGTGGTGCTGGAGAAGAGTGTTGAATATACCATGGACTGCTAGGAGAACAAACAGGTTTGGCCTGGAGAAGGTGAAGCCGGAATGCTCCTTGGAGTCAAGGGTTCTGAAGCTTCGTCTGACATATTTTGGGCATGTTGCAAGGAGGGACTGGTCCTTGGAGAGGGACATCATGTTTGGGAGAGTGGAGGGGTGGCGAAGGAGAGGAAGACCTTCGATGAGATGGATCGATTCTGTGATTAGAGTGGTGGGAATGAGTGTGTTTGAGAGGGCGAGGTTGGCACAGGATAGAACGGCATTTAGGGCTCTTGTACATAGGGTCGCTATGAGTCTCAAGTGACTCAATGGCACACAACAACAACATCACAATTCACAGGCATGGATTCTTCTGTCTTCTCTATTCACTGTCCAACTTTCAGGAAGCAATTAAAAATACCACAGCTTAAATCAGGCTTATCTTAGTCTTTAGGGAGCTATGGTGGCCTAGTGATAAGAAGACATGCTGCAATTCCAAAGGCTCATGGTTCAAATCTACCAGCTGTTTCATGGGGGAAGGATGAACAATCTCCTCCTGTGTGACTGATTGCCTCTGCAAACCCGCTGAAGGGTCAGCTATGCGTCAGTTTCAACACAACAGTACACAACAATCCTGGGTGCTGACTGAGGTTCCACGTGAAATAAAACCATTGATAACTTCAATCTTTTGTTCATCTACCACAAATCCTTGTGAAGGATGTTTGTTTTCTTGATATTTGAGAGAAAGTCCATATTATAATTAAATGTGCAAAGACCTGGAGTTAGAAAAACAATATGGAAGAATAAAGAACTTTTTAAAGAAAAATTCTAGCCTCAAGCTGCGTTATTAAAGGATTCTTTCCACAAAATACAGAAAGATACAGGAAGCATCAAAAGATAGAAAAGAATATAGTCACTAAACAAGAATGCACTGATCAATGAGGAACCATTTCCACAAGCAGCACACGCTCAAGAACCAATGGTAATGAAAAAAGAAGTCTAAGCTGCGATGAAAGCACTGCAAAATATACAGCTCCAGAAATTGATGAAATACCAATTGAGATGTTTCAGCAAACAGATGTAGTGCTGGATATCCTCCCCTTCACTCATCAATGCCAAGAAATTCAGAAGACAGCTACCTGGACAACAGACTGGAAGGGATACTATTCCAAAAAAAAAGAAGGTGATCCAACATGATGTAGAGATTATAGAGTATCATTAATATCACAGAGAAGTAAAATCCTGAAGATTATTAAAAATGGCTGGAACACTACATAAATAGGGAATTGTCAGAAATTCAATCTAAATTCAGAAGAGGCCATGGAGCACAAGATATTATTGCTGATATAAATTAAATCAGATTACCCAATTATGTTTTATTGACTATGTAAAAGGCATTTGATGGTGTGTTGTTGCTGCTGTTGTTATGTGCCATCAACTTGCCTACGACTCATAATGACCCTATAACAGCCCTAAACCCTACTCTATCCTGTGCCAATCTCACTGTCTCTGACACACCTACCTCCATTACCCTAGTCACTGAATCAATCCATCTCATCGAGGGTCTTCCTCTTCTGAGCTGTCCCTCCACCTTCCCAAGCATGATGTCCCTCTCCAAGGCCTGGTCCCTCTTTGCAACATGTCCAAAATATGTTAGATGAAGCTTCAGAATCCTTGCCTCCAAGGAGCAGCCTGGTTTAACCCTCTCCAGGATGTATCTATTCTTTTTTCTCTTAGCAGTCCATGGTATATTCAATACTCCTCTCCAACACCACAGCTCAAAGGCATCAATTCTCCCTCTATTTGACAGTGTATATTGTAATAAATCAGGATAACACTGAGAAGAATGGGAATTCTAGAATACTTAAGTGGGTTCACATGATTCCTGTACACAGACCAAGAACCAATCGTTTGAACAGAAGAAGGAAGTACTGCATGGCTTAACATTAA